CCAGGTATTTCCAATTGCATTTGCGATCGTTGATACTGAAAACGATGAATCGTGGAAGTGGTTTTTCAGGCAACTCAGATGTGTGATACCTGATGATGAAAGACTTGTTATTATTTCTGATAGACACAAATATATTGGCAATGCAATTTCTGAGGTCTATCCATCTGTCAGCCGTGGAGTTTGCACTTACCACTTGTATAAGAATGTCTTGTTAAAGTTTAGAGGTCGTGAGTTGTTTGGTTTGGTTAAAAAGGCAGCTAATTCGTTCAGACTTTCTGATTTCGAGACAATATTTGATGAGATCAAAGCACTGCTCCCAGCTTTGCATGGATATTTGCAGAAAGCAGATGTAAAAAAGTGGGCACGAGCTCATTTCCCTGGTGATAGGTACAACTTGACTACGACCAACATAGCTGAATCTATAAACAGAGTGCTTTCAGATGCAAGGACTTTGCCGATTGTAAGACTTTTAGAAGCAATAAGGCAAATGATGACGCGTTGGTTTTCAGCACGGAAGAATGATGCAGATTTGATGAAAACAACTCTAACTCGTGGAGTCGAGAAGCTTGTAGAGGTACACTTGAGTTTCTATAACATATGAATATTTTATGAGCACAGAGTAATGTTGAAAACATACTTTCAAAGGGACGTGTACCGTATGCTAAAATGCTAAGCGTACAGAAGATAGATATTCACCAATATCAGGTTTCTGGTGTCTCAACTACACACATAGTGAATCTGACTGAGAGGAGATGTTCATGCCGCAGATTTTACATAGAAAAGTTACCTTGCGTACATGCCATTGCAGCAGCAGATGCGACAAAATTGTCAACGATTTCACTATGTCATCCATACTACCGTGCAAACTATATGTACAATGCTTACTCCACTGCAGTACTGCCGAGAGATGCTGATACACCAGTTCCTGCTAATGTCGCAGGAATCATTTGTTTACCTCCTGTGGTTCGCCAACCCCCAGGGAGACCCAAAAAATCAAGAATGAAATCTTGCCTTGAGAAAGGTGAAAAAAAGAAGCACCCAAGAAAAGAGCATAAGTGTTCTATTTATATCATGTTGGTCAAAATTGTAAAACTTGTCATGTTGGTTAGACAATTTGACTCTTTTGTTTTTTCATTTCTTGTTTCGATTTGGATATGTTTCTTGTTTCGATTTAGACATGTTTCTTGTTTCTTGTTATAACTAGAATATGTATTCATATTATAACTAGAACATGTATTCATGTATATACGAGTCCCCAAGGGTATCTGTCAAATGCTTCAGCATCTAGGACTCTCCTTGCTTCTTCCAAAGGAATCATGCTACCGGGAGAGATGCCTAATATGCCAATCAATAAGACACAAAGCAAGCCAATCATTCTTCTCTTCTCAAATGACCAATTCCTAATGCGAGGGAACAATTTGCGCAACTCAGATAACATTGGACCATGTGAAAGGGACACACCAATCTCTTCCCAAAACGCCTTATGATCAACCTCCACCTTATCATTGATGTTGAAAGGCTCACAATTTAAACCTGTTATTTCACCAAACTCATATAGCAAAAATCTGATTGGCTGATCTTCTATTAATGACCATAGCTAATGAATATTATCCACAACCAGTTGGTTTGTCAGAAAATGGTGGACGACTTGGGCTGACCATGTATAATCCATCTCTTTCAATTTTACAATAGCTCCAACAAAAGATTCCTTAATAGATTCCCACGCATCTAAGCCAACAGCTTCCTCCACCATCTGCAAATTACCGAAGTGAGAGTTATGATTCATTGATCGATGTTGCAGTGGACATTTTCCCTCTTCATAAAGTCTTGAGGGATATGTTTTGTGAGTGCATGATGTAGACATATCACTGTAAATAATGTACAATGAAGTAAGGAACACATGAATTATATTTCCAGAAACTTATCATCAATTAAATTGATAATTTCAAATTCACAATTAGCAAAATGAGAAACCCAAAATCTAGACCCAGAATAAACTAACATACATCGTCGATCCGTACCACGAGGTTCTGGTGCCTCGGGGAGTCGCTCTCGGGGTTCTCAGGATTCTTCTCCTGGTATGGTTTCGGCTCACGCTGCTGCACCCCCTCCCGATCCTCCAGTCGTTCTGGGAGCGATGACTATTGAGCAGTTGGTTCAACAGCCCGGTCGTGAGCATCTTCCTTATCTCACCGAGTATCCTATGGGACGAGGTCAAACATGGTAATTAATTCTTTCTTTAAGTGTGGATTCATTATTAATAATTTGATCCTTTTTGATAGGTTCGACCGATCCGGGAACGGGATCAGTGGATGGATCAACCGGATGATGTACTCAGACCTCAAGAAGGGATATCCGACTTTCACTCACTTCCCTCTCCCCGAGCAGGAGATGTGGTTTCGTCAGTTTGCGGTAAGTATTCTACTTTTTTAGTTATATTTTTCATCTTTAATATTAATATTTTACTAATTGTGTTTTTTTTTACAGCAAGAGTTTACCTGGCATCCCGATCATACGCCCTTTATCCGCAACGCCTTCATCCATAAAGTTATGGACAACTATGGGAAGCAGATCTATGAGTGGAAACAGAAGTGGCGCAACAATAAGGTATCGGTTTATTAATCTATTTTAAAATTTATTAGATTATCTTTTAATTTATTAATTTATTTTTGGATTTATTTAACTATTTCATATTTTTTTATTTATTAAAAGGTCTCGAAGTCGATAAACGACACGGTCTGGAAGGAGTTATGTGAGCATTGGCAGAAAGATGAGACGAAAGTAATCTCCACCACCAACTCCACCAACCGCAAAAGCGAACGTGGCGGGAAGGGCGTGGCCAAGCACAACTTGGGTGCCATGAGTATTGCCACTCTCGGAGATGAAATGGTAACTTGAATCTCTTTTTTTTTCAATTATTTAAGTATTTCTATTTTAGTTTTATGCATTTATTCTGATTTCTATTTTTCTTTTTAACTTATAATTTTTCTAGGCGGAAGAAAATGATGGCGAGCCAGTTGATGCTTTCAAACTATTGAAGCGGGCGCATACCAACAAGCATACCGGGGAGATTGATGATGGTCTTATCAAGGAGGTGGTTGACATGATCACCACTCTCAAGGACGACGAAGAGCTCCGTCTATCCCAGCTTCAAACCGAGCTCGACTCCAGTTCGACAGCTTTGGTCTCCCTGTCCCGAGAACAAATCAACGATATTGTTGAATCGGTAAGAATGTTTTTATACAAAATTCAATTCATTTATTTATTTATTTATTTTTATTTTATAAGATTTTCTGTTACTAAAATCTTTTTATTTTCTCTTTCAGTCGGTTCCAAAGAAGAAGGGACGTTTGATCGGTTTAAGTCGTCGATCCAAATCAGTTCCTCCTACATCACAACCGCCTATCGATCCAATGGTTATGGAGCAGCTTCAGGACAAGGATGACCGCATAGCTGCGTTGGAGGCGAAGATGGCGGAACAAGAGAAGGGATGGGAGGAATCGAGGAGGCAGAACGAGCGCATGATGGAGATGATGAGGCGGATGTACCCGAATGAGAAATTCCCGTAGTTTTTTTTCTAAAACTCTTAATGTTTTAATGTTTTTTATTTGAACAAATATGAATTTATCTAACATATTTTCAGTTTCAAATTTTATTTTATATTTTTGAATTTTAATTATAAACAATTAATTTATAATTTTTGTAAAATAAAATTAATTTTACGAATATTCCGAGGAAGTGAGTCCCTCAGAATTTTCCGAGGAAACCACTCGTCGGAAATTTCCGAGGAGCTGAGGTCCTCGAGAATTTCCGAGGAACTGCTTTCCTCGGAATTTCCGAGGGCTACACTTCCTCAGAAATTTCCGACAGAACGGGTCATCGGAATATTCCGACGACAGGTTTCCTCGGAAATTTCCGACGAAAACAATCGTCGGAATATTTCGATCATTCTGAGGACCCCTCCATCGAAAATATCCGAGGCTTTTCTGACGATACTTTCTTACGATACCGTTTGCTCGGAATATCCTCGGAAATTATGTCTTCGGGAGTTCTTCGGAATGTGCTGAGAAAATTTCGAGGAAACTTAAAATTCCGACGAAATATTTCTGGCGACCTTATTCTTCGGTATGTCCTCGGAATTCCCTTATTCCGACGATTTTTTCCGTCAGTATCGCGGTGTTTTCTTGTAATGGACTAACCTTGATATGCAATTCTTGGTCAATTAAATAGCTCCAAGAGGAGATTTTGTACAACTGAAGAATCAACGAAAATAAGTGAACAAAGCCACAATCTTTAGCGGAGTTGAGAATTTTGAAAAGGGATTTAGGGTTCGTCGGTGGAGAGAAAAGAGAGAAAGGGGAATGCGAAGGTCAGTGAAAGAGAAAGGTATGGGATGAAGGATTCAAGGCGAAAAGAGAATTGTGAATTGAGAAATATATGGTTGAACATTTAGGGTTCATCAGTGGAGAGAAATGGGAGAAAGGAGGATTTTTGATTTTGTCATTTTTTTTTAACTTCACTTTGCTTTGTGGTTAGACTAGCTCACGGTAATAACATAAAATTGGCACACGTGTTTTAGTTTACATACATGTGGGTCTGGGTATATTTGACTTTCTGGTTGGATATGTTTTTGTTTTGTTTTCACGTCGAGTAATTTTTGACAAAATATGTGTTAGTATAAGTAATTTCCTATATATATATATATATATATATATTTTTTTTTTTAATTCAAAAAGTTCTGGGCCTTAAACCCATAATTTCCTTGAGCCACGAGACAAGAGCTGGTTGTTTAGTCTCCTCCTTGTATTTGCTGAAACTCAAACTTGGTAGGCTCTACCACCCATAGGGACGCATGCATTATCAAATGTGAAATGTAGAAAGCATGAGACTAATTAAAAAAAAACATGTCTTTATGACTCGAAAGAGGGTAATGACTACCATTTCTACCTCTGATAGCAGCAAAATCAATTGAAAAACAGTCTTTAAATTACGCTAAAGTTATTTCACTTGTGATATAATATATACTACACCATTCGGCCCTAAAACAAACAAAATACATAAATTTTAGATAACTAACAACTGAGATTTGATGATAATAATACATAGCCATCCATCCCCAACCCAACAGCGTTAAAGATAGTTATATCTGACGAAGGAAAATGACTAAAATAGTAAACACCCAGATGGTAGTTAGTTAACCTTCATCTTCTAAAATATGGATGAAAAAATTAAACTGCACGCTTCTCTTTTCTTTGATTTCTTTTTTTTTCCTCTTCAAAAAAAAAAACTCTCCTTGACTATAATTATTGCCATGGTCCACTAGCAGAGGCAGTAGAGGCACCAGCACTTAACATGCCATTCCAAAACCCAACAGAGTTGTCAGCTTCTCCTTCTTCTTTCTCATGCTGATGATCATTCCCATTGCCACCACCACTATTGGTGCTTGATGATGAAACAGGAAGTTTCAGGCTCTCAAAAGGCAGCAAAGGCCTTCCAATGTTAGTGCCACTGGACCCCTCTTCTTGATGTAGAGGATCCCCACCATTAAGAGAGAACCCCAAAGGTGGTCTCATGAACTCTTGAAACTGTGGGTAACTCAGACCAAAACCAGGTGATGCTGCTGTGTACACCGACGAATCATGAACGTTAGGATAAGTCACGAAAGCAGGGCGTGAATTAGAGATCCCTAAAAGCTCCAAAGCTGATGAGGTTGATACAAGTGGGTTGTTCTTCATACTGCTTGGTACTACTTGCAGAAACTCAGGAATACTTTGATGACCAATCCCAAACCCTTGAGACAACGCCGAGTTGAGATCTTTGGCCTCGTGGGCATTACCAAAACCATGAGAATACGCCAACTCTTGAACTTTACCCTCGTGGGAATTCTCGGCAGACTTAGGGTTTAGCTGTTGAAGTGGTGGTGGCTTTTTGTTGTTAATACACTGAGTTTTCTTTGAAGAAGAAGAGGAATCGGAATTGGAGGAAGAGGAAGATCTTTTGTTCTTCCGTACGGCACCGCCGATGGGGATGTTCCTGAGGGAGCCACCTTGGGTCCAATATCTCTTGCAGTCTTTACAGAAGTATCTGGGTTGAGTGAGGCTGTAGTTGTTGTAGTAACAGAACTTAGTGTTAAGGGAGTTGCATCTTGGACAGTTCAAAGCCTCATCTTTCTCCGGTCTTGCCTTCTTCTCCACTGGAGCAACAGCAGCAGCAGGATTCGGCTGTTTCAAGCATGTCTCGTTCATCGGCTTCACAATAAATTCCTTTTTTTTTACAGGAACAAAAAAACAAAGCATATGAGCTTTTGCTATTAGATCCCACGAGGAAATTATCTTTTCAAAAGATAAACACTTTTATCAGAAAAGAAAATATAAAGATTAAAGAGAACGCAGTTTATTCTAGAAAGCATCTTCCCTTGTGATAAAAGGAGGAAACTTAAAAGAGACGAGTAAACAAGTTAAATTAACAATACCTGAGGCCATTTAGCTCCTCTGTCCATATTTTCAAGCTGATCAAAAACCCTGAAGAAGAAGAAGCAGTTGCAATAGCTAACCGAGAAACAAAGGTAGAGAGAGATTAAAGAAGTGTGTGGGGAAAGGTAAAGCGGGTTTTTTAAGAAAAAAAGCAAGAAGAAGACGAAAAAAGAGAATATTAAATATTTTTTTTAGTGCTGCCTGAGTTTTGATGGAGAGAGAGAAAAAATAGTTTGCCCCAAGTCTGACACACTCTCAAACTATATGCACCCGCCGTCCCACTTTAACTTTATTATTTATTCTCTCCATTTTTTCTTAATTTTCTTCATCACTATACAAAAATGTCATCTGATCGTTCGTTTAGCTACTGTAGTTTTTATTTGTCTATTATCAATTTATTCAACATTTACTCAAAATAGCAATGCATGAAGAATCATCATTTATCGTAGACATAAGTTTGGTTAGCAGTAAAATTCTCGGTGTCTTAATGTGTTAATACACTATGAAAAAGAAAGATACTGTAACAATATCATAGGAAATACGTGTATCGGGCAGGGCGTAACTCGTCTATCCATTGAAACATCTATACAGGCTTTTTATTCTTTAAACTCTTCTCCTTTTCCCAAAAAAAGTTATACTAGTATTTTTCCTAATTATAGTTTATTTACGAGGCTATGTATTTATATGTTCGTAGTTTTTACTGAACAAGACATTCGAGAAGAAAAAGACCCAAAATAAAGAGATTACACTACAAGAAAACAATTTTTTTACTAGGGTTATATTCGCGGTTAATTCGTCGTAATAGGACATTTACGACGAATTAACTAGAAAAACCGTTTCGTTGTTAAACGCCCGTCGTAATGTACTTTTCGTCGTAAAGTCCACGTAACGTTACGAGGAACTCCATTCGTTGTAAAAGACATGTAGAGTACTCGTCGTAACCTCCACGTTAACCTGCCACGTAAAGTCCTTGTTCCGTTTCGACGTAATAGACACATAAAACTTCGATGTTAAGTCAATGTAAATTTACGAGTAGATTACTAGTAGAACATATAAAGTCGTAGTAAACATTACAATGAACTTACTTATCATTCGATGTTAAGTCGTTGTAAAGTTTACAACGAAATTACTTGGTGTTTATATATAATATAATTTTAAAATTATATATTTTTATTTATAAATTTCGTAATTTAAAATATAAAACCAAAAATTTTAAAATTAAGATTGTTTAAAAAACATTATATTAAAAAGTCATAAAATAATATATAAATTTATAATACTTAAATTTATAATACAAAAGCAAATAAAATAAAATAAAACTACGGCATGTTGGTGCGGAGGTACTCGTCGGGGCGGCTGAGTTCCGGGCCGGGTCGACCGGTTGACTAAGGAGGATGCTGCTGCATTCCGAGAGCCGCTCGTCTTGCATTTAGCGCTCTCTGCATAACCGGGTTATCGGTGGCCAAGATGTCCAACAAATCCTCAAGTGAGTCCAAACGCTCCTGTTGGGACCGCATCTGAGACCGCATCTGAGACCGCATCTGAGAAGTTTTCTCATCCCGGCGCGAAGTGTACGAAGAAGTTGCCCTTGGAACTTCGTTAACGGAGCCTATTCCCACAATCCATCCCTTCATTCTAGGAGCCACCTTGTTTCAAAAAAAGGTTCATTAATATTGAAATAATAATTAATAAAATCGAATTAATATAAACAAATTAAAATTTATTCAAAAATTTTACCTCTTCGAAAATCCGATCGACTTCTTCTGTAGTAAATGTGACGGGTGACCCATCGGGAGCCTGCTGGGTTAGTTGTGTCTGCCGCTCCTCAACCCGAGAAACCACATAGTTATAGAGTCTCTCGGAACGTGGATCCACAAAAACTCCATCTAGTGTGGCGTGAGTCATCCTGAATAGCTCAGTCATAGATGGCATAACTCCGGTCTTCTCGGCCTACAAACAAAATAAAAGAGTTAAGTTTTTAATTACTTAATTAGCAAATAATTTTTTAAAAATATTAAAAATAAAACTTACAACATCTAGACGAATCCCAACATGAGGCTTCTGGCCGGTTCTATGAAGCATGGGGGTCTAATCGGTTTCGGTCTAGGAGTCATCTAAATAAAAAAAAAAAATATCATCAGTTTATCTTAAACTTATTATCTAAAGTAGTTAATTACGTAACCTAATCATCTAAACTAACCACCTAATCATCTAAACTAACCACTTAATTAACTAACTAAACTAAAACTAAAGTAAACTAAAAAAAAAAAAAAGAGAGAGGAGGTTACCTTGAGAGGGAGAGGAGGTATGGAGGAATGAACGAGGCGAGCAGCCTCGTATGCGAGTGTGCTTATATAGATAATTGCCTTCCTCGTAAGCTCGTCGTAATTTTACAAGGCTTTTACCAGGCCCGTGTTTTCTATTACGACGAACTTACCAGGCCCGTGTTTTCTATTACGACGAACATACCAGGCCCGTGTTTTTCATGTTATGACGAACTTACCAGACCCGTGTTTTTCATGTTACGATGAACTTACTAGGCTCGTGTTTCCATTACGACGAACTAACTAGGAAATGTATGAAACCCAGAAAATCAAATTCCTAAACCCCAAAGTTACTTCTTCTTCTCTTCTTATTCTTCTTCTTATTCTTCTTCTAAATTTTTCTAAACCCTAAACTTACTATACTAAACAATATTTGTTGAACTTATAATATTAAACAACATTTGTTACACATCGTTAATTGATATAAAAGAACAACATTTGATACATATTTTACAACATGTGGTACATATTTTACATCATTCGGAATCATTAGAGTTCTCATCAACATCAAGAGAATCATCATCGCTTATACCTTCGAATTCGTCTTCACATGTTACATCCATCACATCGTCGGGAAGATCTTCGTATTGATGATTATGCGGATCAATAAGAAAGATTTCATCAGTTTCTTGATCAGGTACTTCTACTTCAGTGACACACGCTTCTTCTTGCAAGGGTGGTTCTTCCCCAGTAATAATTCGTCCCAAGGTGTAATTTTAATAACTGCTAACCAAGTTGTTCCTGAACTTCTAAGGCGAGGGTATGGAATGAAGCTAACTTGCTCGGCTTGAGAAGCTAAGATGAAAGATTCAAATTTGTTGTACCTTCTTGAAGAGTTGACAGCCACAACACCGCATTTGTTAACCCGAACACCCCTATTCACAACAGGGTCGAACCAGTCACATTTGAAGAGGACACATCTGAGCTTCAATAATCCCGCAAATTCCACTTCAATAATCTCCTGCAAGATCCCATATGAGTATGTTTCGCCTTTCACACATATTCCGTAGTTACTTGTTGCCCGACGACTCCCATAGTCGTATGTATGAAACGTAAAACCGCGTATAAAATACATATGTGATGTGGTGACTTTCGCTACTGGGCCTCTGACCAAATCGTGAAACCATGAGGGGGTAATATGGATCATCAGATTCAACCTACAAAAATTAGTATGTTAACAATTTATATTAGCATTACTTACGTAATATTTGTGGTATATATATTACCTGAGATTTTAACCATGTGACGTCGTGTTGATCTTTTCGTCGGTCCACTTCAGTTGCAGATACTCCAGGTATTGCTGCTTCAAATTGCGTTACAAAGGAAATGCAAATTAAATGAATGTATTCACATCAATATATATAATATCGCACTTCATATAATTTAAATTCACATAACTATTTACCTTTCAAGTGAACGTGTCACTGAATGCTCACAATTGAGCAGAATATAAGTGTGGGCACTATGCTTATCCTCGTCACTAGACCACCATATTTCTCGCAATCTACCACCAAACCGTCCAATTTGGCAGAAAATATCAGGAACTTTGCTTATTGGATATGTGGGGATGACTCCACCATCATCATATCTTCGAGGAACTCTTTTTCTTGTACGTACTGTTGGTGCAAAGTAGTATGATGTGAAGTGAGATGTTTCCGCTGTCAAACTCCCAACAATTATTGAACCTTCCACCTTTGCAAGATTTTTTACTTTCCCCTTCAAATGTTTCATGGCGCGCTTATACGGATACATCCATCCATGATGAATAGGACCACGAAGCAATGCCTCGTTGCGAGGTGAACAACAAGATGTTCTATGACGTCAAAAATGCTGGAGGCAAAAAAATTTCTAAGTTGCACAATATGATCGGAATGTTCTCATGAAGTTGCTCGATAACTTCTTCCTTGAATGTACGTGTGCTTAGGTCTCTGAAGAAAGCTCCAATAGCTTCATATATTTCATATATAATATTAACATTACATAATATATGTATATATATTATTAACTGATCAACAATATTTACCTGCAAGTGCTTCATGTACCTTTGCTGGAAGCAACTCAGCAAAAGCAAATGGAAGTAGTCGTTGCATAAACACATGACCGTCATGACTTTTCATTCCTGAGAACTTTTGACCTTGTTCATCACATCTTGAAAGATTAGAGACATAATCATCAGGGAACTTAACTTCTGATTGAACCCAGTTAAACAAAGTCGTCTTCGTTTCTGATGACAATCGGAAGATATGAATTGGAATGCTTCCATTGCTTTTGATATGTAATTCACTTCTTGAGCAAATATCACGTAAGTCCATCCTTGACTTTTTGCTATCTTTTGTCTTTCATGGAACGTTCAGTATTGTATTCATGATGTTGTCAAAGAAGTTATTCTCTATATGCATAACATCGAGGTTGTGGCGTAAAAGAAGATCCTTTCAATAAGGCATCTTCCAAAATATACTCTTCTTATGCCAATTTTGACTGACCCCATATCCATCATGAATATTTCCAGGAACATGTCAGTTTCCTCCACGTGGAACAGTTTCCTGAGCTCCGTAGTAATCAATTTGCGATAGGATCTGCTCTCCAATGAGATATGGAGGATGACTATCCCTTACAACTTTTTTGTACCTAAATAATGTCTTATTTCTTCGGTATGGATGGGTAAGGGGAAGAAATCTACGATGGCAATCAAACCAACAACT